CTGTCTCTCAAAAACTCTAGTCCCTTTGGAGCGGCTTGCTCCCTGCTTCTAAAATCCTTTTGTCCGTTTCGTGCGGTTTGCTCCCTGTTTCTGAAATCTCTGGTCCTTCTCGAGCGGTTTGCTCCTTTTTTAACAAACACGGTCGTCCCTTTTCGAGCGGTGTGCTCCCTGTTTCTCAAATACTCTAGTCCCTTTCGAGCGGTTTGCTCCCTGTTTCTCAAATACTCGAGGCCTTTCGGACGATTTGCGCCTTACTTCTCAAAAACCCTAGACCTTTCCGAGCGGTTAGCTACCTGTTTATCAAACACTTTGGTTTTTTGCGAGCGGTCTGAGAGGTCCTGAGGCCGCGGCCGCGAGGGTCGTGAGTGCTGCAAGGTTGGGAGGCCGCGATGCAGCGAGGTCAGGTCGTCAGGCCGCGAGGTTATCCTGCGAGGCCGCGAGGTCAGGCGTTGAGGTTGTGAGGCCTCGAGATCGAGAGCCGCGAGGCGTCGTGAGGCCGCGAGGCTGCAGGGTTAGGTGGCGAGGTTACCCAATGCCGTAATCTTATGACAATCAGCATGGGCAAGATAGTATGGTGCAAAATTAAAATAAATGTTTTCGCAGAGCTGTTGCAATTTTTTGTGGATTGGGCCGGGGGGTGGAATGAATAAATATTGCAGATTTTTGCGGACAGATGTTGTGCAGATGGCAGAAAACATAGCCGGGAAAGAGGGGTTGTGTTCGGTGAGAATGAAATCTGCAAAACGCGGTGTGTTTTGCAGATTTGGCTCCTCAATCCGCAAAAATCTGCAAAACACCATGTGTTTTGCAGATTTGGATCCCTCCGCCACTGAGCAGAGATGGGGGCCAGAAATCTGCAAAACATCTGCAGAAATTCTGCAAAACGCAATGTGTTTTGCAGATTTTTTGCAGATTTGGCTCCCGCCAAAGCCCCGACCAACTCAAACCGCAAAAAACTTGCAAAACACAGTGTGTTTTGCAGATTTGGCACAGATTTGGATCCCTCCGCCCCTTAGTCGCCTCTGCTGGACAGAAGTCGGCAAACAATCTGCAAAAACTCAGCAAAACGTCTGCGGCAGTCCCAACTTCCATCCACAAACAGTCATCAACAATTCTGCAAGCAGCAATCCGAAATGCCATCAGCACAAAATCTGCAAAAATTCTGCAAACAATCTGGAACAAACTGCAATCCAAAATTCCATCCGCAGAAAATCTGCAAAGAGTTTGGAAGAATAATTGTTTAGTAAGACATATAAGCTTTCCCAGGAGCAGATTGTCATTATCGTAATCCCATTGTTAGGTCTGATCTCGTTGTTTGATGGCTTTCGCTGTGTGTCATGAGTTTGTGGCCCAAGGAGCATTGGTGGCAAGCCTTCGAAATGCACCGAGAGTTTGGAATCCAGCTATCAGTGCCAGGGAACGCCTGGATACGATCAGTCGTGCATTTTCCACTGCGCCTACTTGGCTCCTGGGGATGACAAGCAGTGGGTGGTCACGCTTCTGCTCTTAGAGGACGGTCGGACGCAAGATCCGGCAATCAGCTGCCCGACTTGGAGTCATTCCTACATTTCTGTAGGGTCCGCATGCGGCCTTCTGGTGTGACTCGCTGTGTCGGGCAGCCTGAGGTGACTGGGACATGCCTGCTATCAGAGTGGACAATCCTGTCTCTGTTCGTGTGAAGCGCTTCTCGTCGGCCACCGAGTTGGAGAGTCATGCAAGCATCTCGGACTTAAGGAGAAGGGGAACCTAAGACGCCCCATGGGAGTTCTGGCCAGTCGATCTGCTTTGGGCTTGATGCCAGGAAATATGACGGTGAATTACCGTCCTGGTTTGAGTGTTCTCTTTCGAGCACTTTGGCAAGATCGCTGGGCACACGCACTCTTCGATGGCCTCTATCCTGCATTTGTCTCGCTCGCCAGGCAGGTGATACTGCGCATTGACTGTCCATTCATTTCGCAGCAAGCAGGTCAGCTTTTGACCTCCTCCTGCGTTTTGCGATGTCACCGGGTAAAGGGTGCTGCGAACCCGGAGGTTTGGACTTGAGAATCATGTCTTCACGCCCGTGGCCATCATGTCGAACTACACGGCTGGCTTGGACTGCAGGCCGCCTGCTTGCATAAAGGCAAGGCAGCCAAGCTTTCCTAACAGTGGGCACTCACCGTCTCCCCAAAATGTAGTGCTGTTCGGTTTTCGGCTGACTTGCGCTGGCTCAGGAAGCTCGAATCCCAGGCACTCGGACTGTCAGGCATCTGCACGTGCAGAGAGGGAGAGGAGTGTTGCATCGCAGCGGAGCATCAAAACTGCTGTTGCTGCCTAAAAACCTATCTGTTACTCCTAAACGCTTAAACCGTGTCGTGGATGTGGGAGGTGCTGGGATCTACACTGGAACGGCCTGTCAGATGGAGGAGGCCTTTCGACTTTTTGGGGGCAGGGGCAAGGCGAAGCAGGAGCTCCTCCGCTTGAGCGATCTCTGGGTGCCTTCGCGAGACAATGGGAGGTACTATAGGGTTCCTTTACAAGTTGCCATAAGGGTTTTTTCTAAGGGCTACTATGGGGATCCTGTATTCCCAGGAGATACATCTTAGCTCTTTGGCCACCGAGGCCTTGGCCCCACTTTGCAAGCTAAGATTCTTCTAAGGAGCAGTTGCTCAATGCCAAAGCCGCACTGCTCTTTGACCACCTGGTAAGCGGCAGCGCTCACATGGGGGAGTATGCGTCCTATGTGTCTTTGCCAGGGACAAAGGATAGTAGCCTGGCTGAGGAGCCATCAGCCTATGGACGAGACATCGTCGGTGAGTTTGCAGACAGACTCTACCTTGCGCATGGCCTGGACGCTCCATCCTCCAAGACCTCTTCCAGGCCGGCGAAGCAGACGCTGAAAGTCATCATCACAGCGAACAAGCGAATGACACCGGAAGAGGTGACGTCCATGAAGGAGCTTGCGCAGCAGGGAGTGGCTTCACTTAGGAATTTGTCCATGGACGTGAGCTTCGTGGATTGGTCGCTGGTACAGCCTTTCCGGAAGCAGCTCGAGCTTCTGCAGAACACTGACATCATGGTCACTGGCATCGGCACAGCCATGTTCTATTCAACCTTATTGCCCTTTGGCTCAGTTTGCATCAACACGGGCTGGAAGGACAGCTCGTTGATGCCCACATATGGTGAGGAGGTGCTTGGCATGTCAAACCACCGCAGCAAGTTTCTGTACATGCCTCTGGACAGGCTTAGAGATGGAATGGTCAAGGCAGATATAGAACACCAGATCCAACTTGCAGCCTCCCTGATCACGGATGGGTTCTCTCTGCCACTGCGCAGCTCCGAAGAAAACTTGTCAATCTTCGGTCGAATCATTCACGAATTGGGACAGCAAAGCGACACTTCCAGGAAGGGACTTCAAGGTCGCGAGCAACTCGACGGAGGCTTCCTGTGCCACCAACGCCCGACGGGTCAAACTTCTTTGTCTGAAACTTGGCCGCATGGCACCTGCCAAGAGCCCAGCCCAGGGCTGATGAGATATATGAGATCGTGAGCCAAGCCTAGTTGAAATGACGAGGACCTGGTGTTCGAGCGCATGGTGGATGCCCGGAACCTTCTCTTCCAGCTTCCTGGCCCGATGCAGCTCGCGGAGGCGTGCCAGATTGATTTGGAGAAACTGCGCCGGGGGGCCCAGCATAAGAAGATGAAGTGAAGCGAGGGAGTGGTAGGAAGTAGTAGGAACCATCACTTAGGCGTCCTTGCATTGAATGGTTTTGGATGGAGATGTTGAAGGGTCCCTATGCTCGCTGTCATGCCAGCCTTGCTGCGAGCCTATACTGAAGGTCAGCTGAAGAAGAAGTATCAGCTCCTCGAAGCTTTGGGGACGTCGGATGCGAGTTGTGAGTGCGTTGTCTGTGAGAGCTGTGGGCTGTTGACGTGATAGCTGAGACTCCGTTGCCCAATGCCGGGCAAAAAGGAACAGCTTGCACATTGCACGTCCTTTGTCATGTCGTGGCTGCTTTTGGCTGTTGCCAGAACGCACCTCGAAGGTCACAGATTGGTGGGTCGTCACGGACTGCGACAAACAGTGTGGTGGCGGCGAGGCCAGTGGCAAATCCCCATGAGCAGAATTTGCTGGTGACATCAACTCGTGCAAGCTCGTCAGGTGAAGATGAGGCGTGGCATTCTGCAGGAGGCTCCGAGTGATTTCCTCGTGTTTGCTCTTGCTCAACGTCCCCTACCCAGTCAACACCCCGTAAGTTGTGAGGCCACAGGTGGCGGGCAGGCATGCCCCAGCCAGGCAGAGCTGGTCAAGGCATGCGGTAAGTTGTGCAAAACCCACTGTGCTCCGACCTTAATCGGATCTTGGCAGACCGAACAATGCAACATGAATCCCTGCCCTCTGGCGCGATTGGACCGTGACCTGGCCGCATCGTGAGTCGAGTCCACTTTACATGCACGCAGTTTAGAGATCTACTACAAAGCGCAATCTCATCACTGTGTCTCGGGATTCAGAATCTACACTTGGCAGGTCTGACTACTTCGCCCGAGACGATCTATGCAGGTGGAAGCCTTTTCCTCGCTCAGTGCCACCGAGAGTGGTTGTGTGAGCACTGCAAACGAGTGATTGTGTGAGCTGGCGTGGCTTGCCGCAGGCTCACCTTTCGTAATGACTATTCAGGGTGAGTGGTTCGACCCAGACAGCGACAGCTTTGGCCTCGGCTTTTCGGTGGCCGGTCTCAGTCTTCTTTATATTTGTACACTTCACATTCCAGGAGCCGATTGCGGTTGGTGTAGTAGCTCAGTTTTCATGCTGTGCGGCCGAGGGATCCTGATCATCAACCAGGACGAGACGTGCGGCCAGACCCAGGTGCGATCTGTGGACTCTTGCAAACTGACTTGCGGTTGCGATGGGTGGAGTCGCCGTCGGAACATGCTGCCGGATGTGCTTGTTGAGGCGCATCACGGTGGCGCTTCCTGCAACCAGTTCGGTGCCAGCGGGTTCGCCTTGGTTTGCGGAAACGGTACAGCTCTCGACATGAAGCAGATCTTTAGACGTTAAACAACTTCAACCCTGCTACCCACCGCGATGAGCCTTCTTCAGGCTGGTAAGGCTTAGTGTCGATGTCCGCGGCATTTGAGCACAAATTGTGAAAAGGAGTCCTGCTCGTTCCGGCCATGTTCGTTGGGACGGGCGGGCGTCCGATGTCATCCGCGTGCTTGTGGCCTCTGCCACCTAGCAGACGTCCAGCAAACTCGGATGGCCTGCTGTAGCAAATGATGGCTGATGAAAATGACTCCGAGCCCAGCGAAGAGCCCAGCGCCGTCTGCTTGACCGGCGCTTCGGGCTGGTCTATGTCGATCAACGGAGACCCCTGCCTAACCATACTCGTGAGAGATGACACTATGTCGCTTCCGTGTGGTCCATTCATTGTTGGATGCATGCAACTCGCAAAGTGTGAGGAGTACATCGCAACCACTGCGCGCCGACACGATCGTGCAGCTCCCCAGTCTCAAATCAATAAGGCAATGTGATAATTTGTGTTGGGGCCGTCAGGGCCTTTAGCCTTTGACGAGGGGGGAGATGCTAGAAGAACAGGGATGTTTGTGGACGCAGCTCGATCGTTGCCTCCTTTGCTGGCGAGGCTTATGCAGTGTGTAGTATTGAGATTTTGGGGAATAGTTGCCCTCATGCCTAGGGAAGGAGACCTCAAGGGAAATCTTAATTCTTGCCAAGTAAAGGCCACCGATCTTTGAACTTGGAAGACTTTGGTAATGTGCTTGCGAGGACGTATTCTGTAATCATACACACACAAAGAGTTATAATCATATCATGTAATATAAATGGTGAGTGCAGAAACTCAGCATGTCACAAGCCTATGGCGAAGCACACGGATGCCAGGTTTACGTCAAGCCTGATGCATCCAAGTACCTCGCCTACAATGCTCCACGACGCGCATGGCAGGTTTCGCGCTCTTTGGGGCCATCAGGTTCTTATGCATCATGCCCCGGGGAGGCGGGTGCATCAGTGGTCTTGATTGGTCGCAGCTCTCTGCAAAAACACAGATTCGCCTGTGAAGGATGCGAGCCCGACTGGTCTCCAGCGTGCCTGCAGCATTGGCAGCCGAAAGGAGCCTGGTCTACAAATTTTGGACCTTCCTTTGCCCAACTCGCTGCACGTGGTTGGAGTGGCTGCGCGGAGGCTGAGTTTGCAGGGATTGTTCTGTTTGCAGGGAGTTGATGTCACCCAGAAAATCGATGGGCGTGATGTGAGCACTCCGGTCTACCAGCTTTCGACGTCACACCGTTGTGAAGATGGCCCGGCAGAGGGGATGACGACGCTTCGACTTGAAGCAAGCTCCTGGACCTTCAAAGTGACAAGTTGCAAAGCAGGCGAAAGATGCGATCAAGAGCCAGTGACAGTCGCGGCCTGTGTGAGCCAAGCGCTCCGGCCTGACAGGCTTGCAGCCGACTGCTTTGGCTTCCGGGCAGACGAGTTCAACATTGCCCCTCCGTGCGTGCGACGAGCTCCTTTGTCCGTGGAGGTGGGAGGCCCCGGGAAAGGTCCAGGCAGCCAAGAGCGCGGCGAGTATCGACGGACCTTGGACGTCGCAAACCATCCCGCGTACGAGAAGCCAGACGAGTCACGGCATCTGTCTTGCAGCTGCAAGACATGACATGTCGTGTATGAGCATTCTGAGGTGAAGGCCCTGATACACTCCTGATCCCTTTGCTAGCCGAGGTTTTACAGTCCAGACTTGGGGGGCTGGCAGCTATCTGCTGCCAAGGGCCTGGGCTCAGGAACTGCGCATGGCCAGGCCTGCGCCTGCACACCCCAGGAGCTCCGGGGTCCCTGGCAGGCAGGGGACGTTGCAAGACATCTGCTAATATGGGGTCAGGATGATAGCCTACTACTCACTGCTTCCGACGGAAATTTGCTTGCTAGCCGCTGCTAGCCACCATCTACTACATGCTAAATATGCCAACTACCCGCAGTGACTAGCTGATAACTGCAAACTGCGATCTGATACTGAGTTTCACGGTGGGCCGGTCGGGTTCTGTCTCTCACTGCATGTCTCAGCCGCAAGCTTTTGAATTGCTGTGATGTCGTTGATTAACCATTGACGGCGGACTACAATGCAACTACAGCGAACCACTACCGCTACTTACTACCTGTTACCTGCCTCTGTCGCTACCGCAAGCACTGCTGCCATTTCCACACTATCTACCACCGCCAATGCCACTACGCCAGCATCACCACTACTACCCCGCCCGGCCGCCACCACCACGACGACGACTGCCAGAAGTACTTCCACTACCACTAACACTACCACTACCACTACCACTACCACTACCACCACTACTACTACTACTACTACCACCACCACCACCACCACCACTACCACTACTGCTACCACGACTGCGGCTTCGACAATTACGGCGACTACGACTACGAAGACGACTAGACCCATACGACGACGACGACGACGACGACTACGACCCCGACCGGTACTCCTACGGCTACCGCTACTCCTATCACGACACATACCACGACTACTAGTACCACTGCTCCTCCCACTATTGTTGCTACGACTCGGGCGACGACGGCAACCACGACCGCCCACAACCGCAGCGACCACAATGACGACCACGAAGACGGCGACGGCGACGATGACGTCCATCGCCAACGCTGCCACCACTGATGGCTGCGCCGAGCTGCTTCGTGTTGGTTATGTTGTTGGCAGAAGTAGGGACACTGACCACGCTTACAGATCTCTAGATGCCAGTATCATTGCACTGTGGTGTCGTGCGTTGGTGTGGGACTGGGACTAAATTTGCTGCAGGAAAATGGTATATCAGATCACGTCATCCGAACACTCAACTCGATCGACCGCATGTATATTCGTCTCGTTGTGTCGTTGCAGGTTCTCGACGACCACGGCCGACCACAGGAAGTAGAGCTCGTGATTTCAGCAAGACCACCTCCACAACAGCTGACGTTTACTGGCTGGCCGCCACCACTGGATCATTTCAATGGCTTCTAGCCTTGATGGTTAGCAGTAGCTCACTACTGTAAGAGGTCCGTCCATGGTTGGCAGCGCATCAACCAAGGTGAGTACGATCGGCTGGGGCTGGCCGATCCCTTGCATGGCAGGCCTTCGTTCGCTCGCGTGCTGAAGCTTGGCAGCTTTCCGACAATGCAAAGCACAAGCATACAAAGATTGGATTCCTGTAGAGGGGGACAAAGACAGGTAGGCAGGCGCCCCGGACACCAGGAGCCGCCGCTCACTTCGCTCTTCCTGCTTGAAGTTTCCGCTACCGGGCTGCGAGTCCGCGAAGGCTCACCTGAACTTTGCCACTGCGACTCGATGGAATTTGGAAGAGCGGTGCTTTGAAGCAAGTACGTTTCTGTACAGGCCGAAGTTCCCGGGATCCCGGCAGGTGTCTTTCAACTGTCAATCTTCGCAGTGGCAACTTCTGCTTCAAGGGCAACCTCTGGCTGCAGCCGCTGACTCGGAGATGGACATGCCACAAGGTGCTCCTTTGCCTGAACTGACAAATTCCAAACATCAACAACTTTATATAAGCCTTACAGGCCATCTGTGAATCACACCCGTTCGCGTGCTGTGACAGGTGCTGTGCAATGGCATTTGCTTTCCAAGTTGCAGTGCTTTCCGCTGCTTTCCTGAGTCTCTGGTGTCTTTCTCGCGAGTTTTCCCTCACGTGTTTGCCCCCCCGTGTTCTTGCACCTCCTGGTCCAAGGCTGCCTTCCCTGCAGCTGGTTGAGGAGCTTTGGGCACCTTCAGCCGCGAAGACTGATTTGCACAAGTTTTTGGGGTGGCACCGATGCGCTAGAATACTGAAGGAAGATGTTAGAAGAATTGAAGCTCCGTGACGGCTATGCGGGCACTGAGTCTGCGAGGTGGTTTTGGTGTCTGGCTGGACTGGGGTTGTCAATGCCGCGGTGAACGGAGAATATCTCCGCAGAGAGAGCAACCATCAGGGGCGCCCCTGGTATACGAAATCTGACGTGTCGGCAAACCTCTACTACAGCCAGGCCGGTTCCAGAGTGCAACCTGCATCTGTCCTGTCTGTTGAGAGTGGCAGAAGCCACTCGCTGAGGGTCGGGCAGCTTGGGTGATCTCTCGGAGTGGACCGACATCGGAACAGGGGACCATGGCTGTGTGCCCGCAGCCGCATGCCCGAAACCCGTCGAACCTGACCGGTTGCTGGGCAGCTCTTGAGGTAAGCAGCTTGTGTCTTGCGAGAGCCCTTCGACTCCACGAATTTTTGCTTGCAGTATCTCGGCAGCTTAAGGCTGCTGGACCGTGGGCATATCCCACGCCTCAGGAATGCGTGTGGAGGCATCGCCGCCAGCGGCGGGCCTCCTATTGCGCGGGCCCCCGGCCCCATCCTGTGCCGGGGCCTTTGTTCGGACTGGTGAGCTGCACAAGCGTCCCGTCTACAGCCGAGTGGAAGATGCAGGCTTACGGTTTATGGAGCGTGAATTCTGCTTCGCAATAGGGTGCAAGTGGCCGTGGGAGCAAGACTCGGGTGTGTTCTGCCCTGCAGGGAAGCAGCGCTGTTTCCTGTTCTACAAAGCTTCTGACGCCTGCTGGGTCTTGGCAGTGGGCAAGCAGAATGATCGGCCCCCTGCAGGAGATGTGCCCCAACTGCCAGCGCATGACGGGAATGCTGTGCACCTTACAAGCTGCATCAGGGTCCGAGTGCCAGGTTCTCTTCCGAGCTCTCACAAGAGGTCACAGTCCGGAAGCTGCATTTGCCTTTGCGAGCTTGCAGCCAAATGCAGGCACCGCCGAACTGTGCTTAGCATGTCTCCCTTCTCACCACCACCACTACTACCGCCCCGCGTATGCTCCAGGATGGCTGTGGTCTGCAGGAAACCCGGGCGAAGGGAAGGTGCAGGACACCGTCAAAAGTGAATGTTTTCAAGCCAACTACCCTGTCTTGGACCCTGCTACATACAGGCCCCCCCCCCGCCGTTTTGGATCCGTCTCTTGAGCATCTTGAGGACACGTTCCGGCTCCACCTGCGTCGGCTGAGCATTGGAGCCACGCACGTGTTCGTCCAATCTGGCATGCATCAGGAGGCCTGACAATGTCACAGCAAGGAGAGAAGCGATGTAGGCAAGTCAGGTACCAGCCGGAGGTAAGAATGACAGAAGAACCAGCCCGCACCTGTCAGGTTTTGAATGGGCGGTACATTCGCATGGCCGACTCCGATGGGCGCCCTGCATACACCCGGGAGGACGAACCCGTCAAGCTGACCTACAGCAACACGAGACTAGGTAGCATTGACTTTGAAGCTCGGCTCTTGACATGGCATGCCGGGGTCATGCCCGGCTTTGGTAAGGGATGGGGACTGGCGCCTGGTGAGAAACGGCTCTCTGTTGGCCTTCAGTGCGGACGTCCGCGCCGCGCGTCCAGAAAACATCCAGGGCCCCTGGCGCGACTCGGCTCACCTTCGACTTTCGCTTGACCATTGCATTTGCGATCCTTGGGGCCCGGCAGAGGCATGGCCAACGGAAGCCTGGTCAACTTTGCACAAGCAGCCGTGAGCATCACGGCCACGCTGCTTCAGCAAGTAAGTGTCCGAGGTCGAGCCAACCACAGGGCGAGAATTGGACACTTGAATGTAGATGATACGATCGAGCAGCCAAGGCGACATCAATGCGGCAAAGCTTCTGGACACCTCCATTATGCCTGTTTCTCCTGCTGTGCCGGGGTATTCTGTGACTGAAGCTTAACACCATCGACAAGGCCAAGGTGAGCAAGCATGACTACTCTGCGACGCGCCCACCCACGGTCGAAAGGAACCAGCTCGAGGGTACAAGTAGAACATCCGACGCACGCACGAGTTCTCCTTGAAGCCGATCTCCGGATGTTTCCGAGCAAGCCGGTCGTTGAGACGGATCGTTTGCATATTGGGCGTACAGCGTACTAGTATCTGAAGTGAAAGGAGTGCTCGAACAGCGTGAAAGAATCTCTCTGCATGCAGTGCCGTTGCTGCTATGCTGCTGTCACAGAGATCTTGCAGCTCTGTCCACACTTTCATACTTTTTTGCGCTCTTTACTCTTAGTATCTGCCTAAGGCGACTTCTCCGTTCGACTTCAGAGACCGGGATGGTGCCCAGATCTTTCGCAGAGTCCACTGTGTACAGCTTGGTAGCGCTGAAGACTGCAAAGTCGCTCGAATAGGCATCGTTGGGTGCACGGCCAGCTTTGCAGCTGCAGGTATCGGGTTTGCGTGTGCGACGCGAGCGCTTCCATTCAGCGCAGCGCAGATGGCAGCACTAACATCACAACAGGCACTTTCAAGCGTGGCCTTTCCCGGTGTCACCTGTGCAAGCCGCAGGTGCTGTGGAGTCAGCAGGCATCATGGCCACGAACTGTGTGCCCCAGCTCACTTTAAAGACTGTTTTGATTTGTGCTGATGAACAAAGCTGGAAGTCTGGAAGCAGACTGGTGGCTGCTCCTGCCCTGGTCTCAGGACTCGCCCTCCCACTACATTCTGAGTCCTCCAGAGGGGCCGCTTCCTCGAGAAAATCCTGTGAGCAGCAGCCGGGAATCCAGACTGGCCATACTGCAGGGCGGTGCTCGAAGTCTTCGAAGCCCCAATTCCCCAGGAGGGGCCGCAGACAGGAAACGAGGAGGGTCTTTCAACAGGCGGGGCACTTCACGAGAAGCTGTTCCGATCGAAAGCTGCTTCGACGTTTCCAGCAGGTGTCACGGTGGCCATACTTGCTGGTGGTTTGTTCACCTTTGTGGTCTTGGCTCTGGTTTCAGCATACTGGGCCACTGTCTCAGCGGACAGACGACTGCCATCGACCGTATGAAACCCGCCGCTCTGCAAACAAGGGCGGACTTGTCATGGCGTTCAGTAACGCGCATACCATTGCGGCTTCACGGTGTCAGGTTCGGAAGAAGTTCTTCAGCTTCAAGCCCTCGCAGGTTCCTGGTTTCGGATCAGGGTGGGTATATTCTCGGTGAAGCTTCACCGATTCTCAGCCGGAGGTTGCGAATTCCAGCATGGCATCAAAGGAGGGCAAGGACAGGGGAAAGGATGTGTCGAATTTCGGGTTATATCCCTCTTCTGTCCCAACTACTACTCCTCGACGACGGCGACGACACTGACAAGGACGACTGCCACTACGACTACGACTACCTACCTTCTTGCCGTCCGAGTCGACTGACCTGCCGCCTACCTGCCGCCTCTACTACTGCTACCACTTACTAAAGATTGCTGCTACGAGAGCTACCATGCTCCATCAACCAGTATTGCTCACCATTATTGTTGCTATTCATATAATTCTTATTATGATTAGTGTTATTACTGATGCTACTGCTGCTGCTGCTGCTGCTGCTGCTGCTGCTGCTGCTGTTGCTATGACTACTACTACTACTACTACTGCTACTGCTACTGCTACTGCTACTGCTACTGCTACTGCTACTACTACTACTACTACTACTTCTACTAGTATGACGACGACGACGACTACTGCTGCCACGAC